TATATATATATATATATATATATATATATATATGTTAGAAGAGTCCCGAGTCTTATATGAATGGGCCGTACGGCCCAAAAAGAAAAAATTATAAGGCCCTTTAAAAATGTAAAGCTTGTTTATTTCCCGGGAACTATTTTGATTGGCTAGTTGAGGAGAATTCCCAAAAAGAAAAAAAATTACAAGGCCCTTTAAAAATGTAAAGCTTGTTTATTTTCCGGGAACTATTTTGATTGGCTAGTTGAGGAGAATTAGCTTAATGGCTTAAGTTTCTATTTCATGAATGATTATAATACTGCATCAATTTCATCACATTTTAATTTTACTGTTGAACTCACATCTGAAATAATTATCTAAGTATTAGACTATACCACCCATCACTACGCTTAAGTTGAACAAAAGAGAATATCCTCATTTTTCTTCCTCCTTTATATTGATCTCAATATGTCTTCTTGAGTTGGTACAAAATTTGATAATAAATATATAAATAAATAAAATAGAAATATGTAAATATCCATAATGTCATGTCTCAAGTCGGAGATTTTATGTCTTGTTATGCAACTATATGTTTACTTGACAAATCAACTTGATAGATCAACTTTGTAGGTCTACTGATATGTCAACTCAGTAGCTCGACTCTGTGGGTCAACTTGATATGTCAAATCAGTTGGTAAACTCCACAAGTCAACGCAACACATCATAATTTTGTAGGTCTATTTAGATATGCATATTTAGTGGCTCGATTCTTTTATCTCGTTGAATGATGATTATAAAAAGAATAAGGTAATGGTAAATATGAAGTTATGTATTGTTTATCTCTATAAGACTCTTATCTAAAAAATAAATTTGTTTATTTTTCCCAAATAATTACTTAGGTAAATATGAGTGGTGTAGTTCATTGTATGTTAATATTCATATACCTTGGAACTATTAACTCTCTCACACGGAATCATCAAAAAGGCACTTCAGGTGCACTTATAGGATTTCGTCCTAGAGGAGGTATGGCTCACTTTTAGAGTAGTCGCTAGATTGTTAACTCATTTTGTTATCATATTTTTTTATTATGCTGTTTATTTTATTGACTTAATGGTTTTGTATGGTGAGTTACCTGAGTGTTATCAGTAAAAACAAGTCTCATCTTCTTCTTTATGAGATTAGATAGGCCATTTTCTTCCAATATTGCTCAGTTTAAAAATAATTCAAATGATTTTGTTAAATTCATAATATCATTCACCTAGGGTACATTGCTTTCCTAAAGGAAAAAAGTCATCATAATTTATCAACTTTACCTAAGGCTAGATCTTATGGTCTTCAATCCATAGGTTAACTAACTTCATGCTTTATTTAGTTGTCCTGTTTTGGACATAGTTCCTCTAAAGTTGTTCTTAACATTAGGCTACTGAGGTTAGTAGGGTATAAAATTTGAACAATTTTTCTCTTACTTCTAGAAAATTTGTTTATGAGGGGCATGTTCCTCATCTTACCCCAAATTTCCTGGTAAACAAAACCACCAATCAAAATTTATATAAAGCAACTTAGGAATATAAGAGTATAAAGGATGAAATAATAATTGTACAAATAAATAATTTAATGATAGAATATCTTATATCTTCTAGTGAGAATTTCTTTAGTATGATCTTTGTTTTCCCTTTGAATATCTTTACAGGTAATTTGAAATTTAAGGCATGCATCCACTCTCAATAATTTATAGGGTGTTAAACCCAAATATGTATGTGAGTTATGCCCAAACCCTTCTAGCAGTAAAGAGAAAGGCAAAAAGCGAAAGAGGGAAGGAGAGAGAGAGAGAGGTGCATGTAGGAAGAGAAAGTCCTTTTCTTTCCTCTTTTTTTACGGATCTCATGATATTCCTTTAAGTTGGTATAAAATTTGATTAAAAAATAAATGAAAAGTACAAAAATATAAGTAAGGATCCATAATGCCATGTCATACTTCACAGCTTTACATAATGTCATGCAACTTTATGTCATATTGGCCGATCAACTCAGTGATCCAACAAGTTAAGTCTGCACCTAACAACTTGGTTGGTCTTTTAAGGTATGTGTGTGTGTGTGTGTGCTTATGTTGTTAGAACTTTTTTATAACTAATTACATTGGTGCTCTAAGGGTGCATTTGGGGTAGTTTTTTTGTTGTGGTGTAGCATGAAAATGTTGCAATGGACATTAGGTTGCAGCGGCGCAGCGATGTTTCCTTAAACAATCCCCATAAGTTGGGACATAGGCTCGACCCCTCATTCAACATTTTGTTCTTTTCACTGTTACCTAGTAGCTCCTCGCTTCGTTTCCATTCGAGCTATCACTACCAATGGTCTTTCTCTTCCCTTACCTCTCTTCATTCTCCAACACATGCAGTGAGGGATTGCTGGTGTTTGGTTCCTTTGCTCTCCTTCATCCTCGAGTATCTTCAACCCTAAAAATTAAATGTGTATTATCTCTGTCTCGATGGCTTTGTTATTTGCAGTTTGTGGTTTGTGCAGAACTTAATTGATTTCATTTTCATTTTTTTATGTGAACATCGTTGGAGAAATTAAATTTCATTTTCTATGCTAGAAGAAATGGATTTGGTAACGCATTTCATTTTTTCGTGAAATTCGGAGGAATACATTTGGCCTATTATGTGAAATTTTGTGAGGTTGCTCTTTGTGGTTCCCTCTCTTTCTCTGTTGGGTTGTTCATTGTGGTTTGCATATTGTCTCAAATGGGTTACCTATGTAAATTATTCTTTGATGAATGAAGGAACATAATTTATGTGTATCATAATTTTATTTTATTGTGGTTGCCCTTTGTAGTTTGTGGCCTTTATCTATGCTCATTGAATTTTAGGTTTGGTTGCTCTGTCTCGGTTGGGTAGCTATCTATCTCAGGTTGAGATGATTCTCGTCGCACTTGTGATGGTGGTGTGTTGATTTTTAAGTTGCTGTATAGTTGCGCGAAGCAAACAAAACACACAAATTCCCAATAGCAGCTTCTGTGCAGTAACTTTCTAAGACAGCTATTGCACAACGACTTTTAAAAAAATTGCAGCTACCCCAAACAGACTCTAACTTCTTTGACTTTTGAACTTGTTGGCATTAATTCTAAACTTAATTCCCTTTATAGGTATCTTATTCTAGCAAGACCTGTTGATTTATTGCGATTAAATATATAAACTATAGGTATTGCATCATTTAACTCTTATGTTTCACTTCTAGCAATTATTAAAAATATATACATATTTTTGAAGTATTTTTTAAATGGTTCCTAAGCATATGTATAATTTTAAACTGAGTACCTATTTTCATTATAAATAGGATCATATTCTCTGCTATTCATAAAAAATTATTTCATCATTTCTATCACATATTCTTTAGGGTTCCAAAATTTAATTGTTCATCTTTTTTTATCTTGGCTCAATTGACATTTTTCTATTAAAAAACTTTGTTTGTCTTTTTTTATCTTTTTTCTTTTTTATACAATCCAATTAAGAATATGTCTGAGACAATATTATTTTGAGGCAATTACTTACAAACCACCCAAAACTTGGGCTCAGCTCAATAATTTAAAAAAATCAGCTCGGTGATTAATTTCTAAATATTAATGTTTCGGTGGTCCTTTTATATATATATATATATATATATATATATATATATATATTACTAACCTTGTACTCACCCAGAGCTTTAGGAGGACTTGGAATTAGGAGTGTAAAAGGCCGAACACAAGTGAGTCTAGGCTCAACTCATATTCGGCTCGTTAAAAAATACTGCTGTTCGTGTTCGACTAAATTATATTTCATACAAAAAATTTGTTCGTGTTCAGCTCGTTCGTTTAGCGAGCCGAACACGAGCTGTTCACGAACAAAAAAAAACCATTTTGACAACTATAATCATTGCATACAATCGTTAGAAGTGTAAGCAAATCGAACTTGAGCAGTCTAAACTTAGCTTGCTAAAAAATATTATTGTTCGTGTTCAGCTCGTTTATATATTGAACTCAAAAAATTTGTGCGTTCGGCTGGATTGCTTACCGAGCGAGCCGAAGGAGCTATTCACGAACAATGAGCTATTTTGACACCTCAAATCACACACCCGTAGGATAGCAAGGGTGGGAATGAATTCAAATCTTGTTATTTACATTAAAATATTCATTTAAAATGAATTTAATATATTTTTACTCTATTTTTAATTAATAATTTTAATTGATTATAAATCTTTGTAGCATAAATTATTTAAAAATAATACTCATTATATATATATATATATATATATATGTATGTATGTATGTATATTTTATTTTTTTCGAGACAATGAACATATCGCCTAAACCCTATATATATATATATATAATTATTTCAAGTCAAAATGAGTCGAACACGAACGAACGAAACGTCGAAGTAGATTTAAGGAACTTTAAAAAGCAATTGAAAAGAAATGTGTGTGTTGCTCAAGTAAAAAATCAAAAAAAAAATATCGCTGGAAAAATGTGGTTTCTTTTATTCTATATTTCTATGTTTTACAGTAATTTACAGGCCGCACAGACCAGAATCAATGTACAAATACAGTAGGCTTAAATGATATAAAAATGGAAAACTATTATACATAAAAAGAGATTTGAAAGTAGAGCTAGTGAAATACCTGAGCAGCATAAAACTCGCTCTCATTGAAGAATGGTCTCAAATCTTCATTGCACATGAAATCAAGAGGGAAGGAGACGAGATGTCCCCTCAAAGACTGCAGTCTCTCCAAAGGGTCGGTTTCCTTCAGATTTCCGTTCTCATACGCCTCAAGCTTCTCTGGTGCAATGCCCAGATCGGTGGTGGTGTGTCCAAGCTTCTCCTTCCAGTAAGTTGTGCTTTGACGAAAGGCGGCTCTGCGAATTATTAAAGCAGGAGTTCATGGATTTTGAATCAGAACTGGTAATCTCGAGGAGAAATGACGAGATGAATTAGTGGCATTTACATACATACCGCCCGAATTTTTGTGTGTTTTTATACATTTATACCAGCCAAATCTTTCATATTACAGAAAAATAATACTATTTTAAATTTTAAAAAGTGAAGTACTCATTTTCATATAAAGGGAAGGGGACATACAAGTAAACATTGAAGTCTGGGTATTAGATATGTAAATACATAAGAATTGAGTGGTATGTCTGTAAATCTTCCAATGAATTATACCTGGAGTGGATTAGATCACTCGGCACGCACGAAAAAACGTCTTGGTAGATCATAGTGTTCGTCTGCCAACATAAAGGATGATAAGGGAAGGTTCGTAAAAATCATTATGTAATCAAATTATATGTATTTGCGTGTTTCAAAATCAGAAATGCAGCAGATATTCCAAGCGAGTAATTGCTACTATGAGCGAATAGAAAACGAGATTATTATCCTGGGATCATGGGTTTCAGTCAAAGTGTTGCATTTTTGTTCTTTCTGTATTTTGATATATGTGACAAAAAGTCATTTCAGGCACTCTGCTGAATGGTTAATAAGTAGCATTAATTGTGGATTATTTTAGTTCATAATTTATAAAGAATTCTAAGCTTGGCAACGTTTGTGTCATTTAAGTTTCAAGTTCTGCAAATAGTTCATCATAAATATCCTTCATTGTAATGTATTTAGGAAAGTTGATCACAAAGATTTGAAGTAATTGAACCAAGCAGAGAGCAAATGGAAAAAATTAATGACGATGATAATTGAATAGGCAAACCGTACCTTAGCCGTTGCCATCCAGATGTCTTTATATGTAGCATCAACCACAGGGTCTCGGATCTGAAAGGTCTGGAAGCATTGAAAGGATTTCATAAGTATAAAAAAAAATGTGACATTATGCCATTTCAAACTTGTTATCTATGTTTTCTCAAGGCATGTACATAAACCACTGCAAGAAGCTTAACAACATTGATTATAACATCACAGAAGTAGGATGAAAATGCAATCTCAGTATGTTACAAAAACCCCATAGGCAATAGAGGGACGAGGATTTAGCATAGGGAAAAGTGATCAAAAAAGAGAGAAAACGGAATTAGATCATGAAAGAAATGTAGAAAGAAGAAAGGGAAGGAGAGTAGTAACCCACCTTAATTTTTATATTCACTGATAATATCATAATTAAGTATAATACGAGGTTTACAATATCCCTTATATTGACTAATATATTGGGCTTTAAGGAAAACTAGGATTTGAATTAGTATGGATTTTGTGTAGATAACTTTTGAAGGAAGAGTATAAGATTGAGGAAAGCAATAAAAAGAGGAGTTTCAACAAAATTAGATGCATGAATGAATTAAGGTGACTTCGAGGACTTTCGTTAGGGTTAGAAAATTTTTGAACCTAGTTTCATAAAGAAGGTGCCATGCATGCAATTAAAAAGGTAAGGAAAGGGCGATCAAAAAGGAAGGAAGATAAGGAATAAGAATTTTTAGGGCATAGCATAAAATCCAAGGAGCCTTGGCGTGAAATTGAGGGCAAGTAAAAATAAGGAAAATAGAAGATCAAAAACAGAACTAGAAAGCAAAAGCAAGAAGGATATTGCAGAACATTCGTGGCAAAATTAAAATGGATCTCTTTGGCTTAGATACAAATTGATGCACCTGAAAAAGTTCTTTATTCTTAATGATGATTTAATAGTTAAGAGAGAGAAAAGAAGGTTTTCTAGGAGATAGGGACAAAGAGGGGTAAAAAAAATGTCACTCAGGTGAGAGAGGGACTAGAAGAGTTAGAGAGCAAGGAGATAAAAGAAGACTGTAATAGGGTTAAGCAAGCTTGATTCCAATATTCATTCATAACAGCATAATCATGTGGAATATACCAGGTCTAGCCTCTTTGTATACACTAATGGTTCTCAAAAAACATACCAATGACATAATACTAATAACTAACATGACATAAACATGAAATAAACTTCACACATGACAACTCTGCATGAACTTTGATGATCATGTTGTGATCAACAAGGGAGGGCCAAAGGAAAGTTTTAAGAGAAGACATTCGCTCACAATCAAAACCCAACCAAACATAAATAAAGATGCCTCTACAAACCACCGCCTTTTCATCTTGAGCATGAGAGCAGTCTAATTTGATTTGAAATCGAGCAAGCTCACTATATATATATATATAGAGAGAGAGAGAGAGAGAGAGAGAGAGTTGTCTTTAAGAAAAACAATTTCAAGGAAGTTCTTTTTTCAATAATGAATCAAGAAAAAAGTTGCTAAACATATAAGCTTTGAAAGATTAATGCAGGGGAAATGGAAAACTAAATAGCATTGGAGCAAAATGCATGTGATCAATTTTATCTGCTCAATGAGTAATCAAAAGAAAGGTTTCTTAAATTATATATTGACAAGTTAAACTAGCTTCTGCACGTCGCTAAAAAAAAAGCAGCAGATTAAAGAGGTAGGAATAAAATATATAACGCAGCACATGAGAAATAAGTCCTACTTTGCTATCCTAGTTGCAGCAGGGACCTTAACTTTTAAAGCATTTAAGGTAAAATTGAAAATAAGGATTAAATGCTAAGATTTGGAAAAGACCTCATCATAAGGCAGTCCCAGATGTTCGGACCATAAGGAGAGGCGAAGACTAAGACTAAACTTTCCTGCATTCCATGACTTCCCACTCATTGAAGAATTAACAAATTCTTTGTCTTCAATAACCAGACCAATCTGCACAGGTAACATAATTCATCGTAAGGGTTTGTTTTAAGAAAACAAACGAGAATGAGCTGAATCGTGAAAAAGATAAATCAGACTAGAAAACAAATGAGAATGAGCTGAATCGTGAAAAAGATAAATCAGACAAATAATGTTCATGAGGAAGAATATGTAATCAGAAAAATCACCAAGTAAATCTTGGGTCATGTTTAGCAAGGCAACTCTAAGTTACTAAGAGCTATGCTTAAGCGCAGCACATGCACCTACAATGCTCATAACTAGAGCTGTCGAGCAATCTTGCTGTTTGCAAAAAACGTGTTGGGTTCACTAGAAAGCATGTGTTCAACCAGCTCTTTTTGAAAATGAGCTGAGCTTAAACAAACATTTTGAGCTCATTTTCAAACAAGCTAAGCACAAACGGATCATTGTTAGTGTTCAGCATTTTAATTGTTCATATAAAAAACTAATATGTATGCCTGATGCGGGAGCTTAATGGGTCACAGTACTATAGCTGCTACAGTACTGTGGATGCGGCACTACAATAACTACCGTGCCACGGACCGTGGTCCCCTTTTCTCATTTGATCCCTTGCCTTATTCTATTCTCTTACTGATTCTATTTCCTTCCTATTCTAATTCTTTTCTATTTTATCTATTAGCTATTATATATGTGTGATTTTACTTGCTTAGGTTTAGCTTTTGATTAATTCTAGATTTCAGATTTTTATCGGGACAGGTGTCTGTTTTCCCCTTCTAGGGATGTGTCCAAGGGACCGGGTGGTACTTCGGTTGTATCTCTCTCCAAATGTGGTAGACATTTTCATCCTACTCCCTTCCGCTTACTCTCTAATTGCACGCTACTACAGTACCTCGCTGCAGCCGCCCGCAACAGCACTCGGTTTGTTGTTTTCAGTGGCCCTTAGCCTACCAGACATCTTCCCCTCCCTTCTAGCATTATTTCCACCCAAACAACACCTCTTTCCTACAGTCTCAGCCCTCCCACCGTGTTGTTGCCACCTAGGACAGCCACAGAACACCACCTTTCTGCTGTCCCGTCGCCATCCACCCCAACTCTTCGCTGACATCACCCTGGACAGCCTACATACTTATTGTCTCTGCATTTCTGCAACTTCCCCTTGCTGCCACTAGCATTCCCTTGCTATCGCCACCCCCACTAGCCCTCCTGATCCACCTAGCTGACCTCCACCACCCTTTGGATACACTTTAGTGGTGTTTACTTGTGTCGTTTTATGTTTTTATCATTTAAAGAGTCATTGTAACCCTATTTAAATTCAGTAGTGGTGTTTACTTGTGTCGTTTTATGTTTGTTATCATTTATTTCCATTTAAAGAGTCATTGTAACCCTATTTAAATTCAGCAAAAATATTTTTATTTCAATGATGGTTTGAGTTAACTTCGGTATCAATAAATGTATATACTTTAAATTTTTATTAAGCACTTAGTAGTACTATTTCTTTGTTTATGCTTTATCTAAAAAAAAAGTTTGAAATTTTATCTTTTTTATAATTTGAACCGACCAATTTTGATAGAGTTTTATAAATTGAGTATGAAAAAGTTATTGTTATTTTTATTTTTATTTTTTACACACACAAATGCAGACACCCAACATATGCAAGTCCTTGAAACCAAAACCTTCTGGTTGAAAAACAAAGCTCAGAATCACTAGGCCAAGGTGGCTTGCATAAATCGAATATGAATATGTTGTTATGAAGCATTTCAAACATAAGTTGGATTCAAACCAACGAAAATTCAAACAAGCTAAAGGCAAGTACGCTCACTCACATTTAGCTCATTTACACCCCTACGTGTAACTCTCACACGCTTGTCCTTGTCACCACTCGAACGCATTTGCTCCGATAGCATTCAAGTCATCTTGTTCATGGCATTCTATCCTGCAAGCAACAGTAGCTCAAATTTACATCACCATGACTCTTCCTCCTATTCCTATGCCAGTAGCTCAAATTTACATTGCCGAGCCAACAATCCTTCTGGAGGTCATCGAGGCCTCTTTAGTAATGGTCATCTATGCCTTGATTATGATTTGTGGGCTATCTAATTCATCATGGATGCATCATCACTATTTATGTTTGTCAATAGTATTCTATCTTTCACCCATCACTCAAATTTCCTTCCTCACAATCACTCGCATTAACATCTTTGCTACCATCGATTCTATCAAATCAATCTGATAGGCGATTTACTCCCTATACTCCTGTTAACATCTTTGCTACCATCGAATATATCAAATCAATCTGATAGACGATTTAACTCACTATATTTGCTTCTAACTTGATCCTCACCTCTCCATTTGTCAATTTTCCCTTGAGTTATGGATCAAATTTCCCCCATTGGGGTTGATCTTTCGTCACCACCTATTTCTACAGCCCATATTTTTCCTACAGTTCCTCGTCTCGTTTTTAGAGAATATGTGCCAAACTCTCTTGAAACTCGCACTCTTCAATCTTTCACTAAAGTTGCTATGGAGATGAAAGCTTTAGGCATTCAACTCCCACTGTTCTATTATTTTCAATTAATTTTAGTAAAGTTTATACCACATTAACTTAACTGCCATCAATGTTGTATGTTAAATCTACTTACTTTCATTGAAACTGAGGTTTTCAAGCTGACAATTCCACTCTTTCTTTATCATGGGAAAATTTGTTTTAGTTCATCCTATGAATAAGAACATTCATAAAAATATATCAAATTTGCATTTGATTGGTGAATTCTTTGGTGGGCTTATGAAAACTTATTACATAACCATCAAATACTTGCAATACTATTATCGAGTTATTTTTGAAAGCATATCACCCTAAATTTTTCTCACATTTATCCTACCAAGTGAGTGGCTATCTAATGTATGTAATAAGGAAATCTTCTCACTTTGATTCTTCTATAGAACTACCTATCACTCTTATTTGAGTTGTTTTTCCTCAACTTTGTTTACAATACAACCAATTCACTTTATATTTTTTTTGTTCTATTTTAGTAAATCCATGCAAGTGGATGTTACTAATGCTCAACACTCTAAAGCCTACTGTGGCAAGGATTATGGTTGAAATGGGCAATAATTTTCCTCTAAATAAGAAGGTGCAACTTGGCTCCTACACTAGTGGCTATTTGCGGGAAACTACAATTTGAAAGCATATTTTCCTATTATTCTTCTTGCAAATTTGTTTAGCATTGCTCTAAGTGTTTCGCCTTAAATTTAAAAAATATAATGGTATTGGTGCTTACATTCAGGTTCAAGGGAAACAAACAAATGATAAGAATGCATCTTCAAACATTTTTGATGCAGTTCCTCCTTCAAATTAGGCTTTTATGTAAAATTTGAAACTCTAGATATTACCAGAACCTTCAGAGGTTTCCCCCATTATCCTAAGTCCCAATGATATGCTCATCTCCACAAATGCATGAAAGTACAATGATCCATATCCCAAATATACTAGCTCCTCATCTTTATCCTAGGGTTGAAGATGCTTATGACCAAAATTCTAAGCAACTTTATGACTTTGATGACAATAATAATTATTGAAACACAAATGAATAAAAGATTTCAAATACCAAGAGAGACGAGAACAGAAAAAATCTGTTATCATTCCCTAAGGATCAATAGGCTTAAAGGAAGGCGCTACAATTGAGATTTTATGAGGATTTCTTCTTCTAGAGGAAGGATATTTTTCTTATACCACCATGTTATCTTAAATTTTATTTTTTATTTTCTTCTTCACCTCTTGCAGTCCTTTGTAATTGCCACTCATTTTATTATCAGGTTATAAAATTTTGCATTAAAAAAATATATATGGTAATGTTTTTTGGTCTCATATAGTCATCAGACTAATTAGATGAGTATCCATCAAAATTTTTTATAGTAACTGAAGTAGTACTGCCTAGACTTGGTCCAATGATTAATCTCTTTAATGATTTCCATATAAAAAATTTCTAATAATGTAGTATTTGGTTATTTCTTTCCTTATGTTAATAAGACTATTTAACTTATCTATATGATTATTCTCGTAGTTATTTTTCTAACAAGAATAATGTATCATCTTTCACATTAACATGCAACCTTACCACTTATTATCATCAATCATCATCATCATTAGCTTTAACCTAGATATTTGGCATTGACATTATGAATACTTATTTTTCATTCATTTCTATTGAGTTTTCACTAAGGTGTTAAACAGATTAATTGTAAATCATTTAGAACAAGTTCAACCCATATATGATATTCATATAGCATTTTGTTAATTCATTTCCTAATCCTTTGACACTAATTTTACAAACTTCTTTAAGGAATGCATATTCAACCTTTCTCCATTATACATGTCCAAACCAATTAAGTATATTTTCAATCACCTTATCTTTAACATATATCATTCTAATATTTAATCTAGCAATTCCTTAATTTACTCTTCTAGTTTTGCCATAAGTTCATCTTAGCATTCTTATTTTTTGTCAAAATTAATTAAGATATAATTAATTTTTTATAGCCCAACTTACAAATCTATGCAATAATATCAGCATAATTGTGATTTTATAGTTTAAACTAGAGCCTTTATAATATACTCTTATCACAAAAGACTCTCAAAACACTTGTCCACTTTAATAATAAAGCCTTAACTTAGTAAGTTCTATATTTTATCTATATTTTTGTTCTTCTGTATAATATAATCAAGCTACTTAAACCATTATACCTAAGTATCATATCATCTTCTAATAATATTGAATAATAACTTTTGAAATCATATCCACAATTTATCTTTCTCATTAAACCTTGTTAAGATATGCATAAGAAAGCAGTAGCCAATTTCAATATCTAAGCAAATATAAAACCAAATACAAATAGTTAGACATATCAAATCAATATTGCAAAGAAAAATTCATACAAATATATCTCCTGCAAAACAAATTCCTCGTATATGTCAAAAATTTTAAATGTAATGGCAGTTATAATGATACTCTTCAAACAAAAATCAAGGAGATATATACCTCAGAATCTCGAGATCCTAACAAGCTCCTGTCATTTACGTTAGCTGAGCCAATTAAAACCATACGATCATCAATTATCATCAACTTGCTGTGCACATAAACCTGAATGAAACAGATATAAAAGATAAAAAGAACTCACTTAAAAACTTATTAAATTTTATTAAATGTATAAATACTGCAATGTTTTTCATGTCTCCTTATTTAATGAGATACAATGCTATATTAACCAGATAAAGATAAGAGTAACCAAGAAACGTTATTGCAGAAAGAATACTACAATTGCATAGAAAAGATACAGAGTATTCATTTAAATAATCTAGCTTCACTCCTAGTAAAAAACCAAAAAAGTGGCAATAAATTTTCTTCTAATTCATGCCTACTGACATTCAAAACATGAAATCACTTAACCATCAGAGAGTCCACAATTTGAATGCACATATCAAAATAAAAAACCTATTATAATAAAAAAAGTATTTTGTTCGCAAATAAGATAAGGTTGAGACATTTCAAGAGCTTGCCAAATATTCTCAGTGACTATCATCAGTTGAAGAAGTAACCAACACCAAGGGATTATGATACCGGAACTAGTTAGAAAAACAGCGGAAACACACAAGCAAACTTTTATTGATGTAGAGGGAGGGTTACAACACAACACAACAAATAAGAACAACCCAAAATATGAACGACACAAGCAAACACCTCTAAGTTGTATTCCAAGGGCGTAGGAGGTCGGCTAGGTGGGTCGGGATGGTTGGTAGGGGTGGTGGCAACAAAGGAATGCTGATGGCAGCAAGAGGAAAGTGCAGTTGGGGAAGGTGCAAAACTGCAGGGACAGCAATGATGGAGGGTTGGGCAGCAGATTATGCTACAGAACAGCATTGTCCGGGCTGGGATGAGGGCTGAGAAGGGGGACAGCGAAGCTGGACTGTAGGGACAGAGTGTTTGAAGGCTGGGGCGACCTCTAGGGAGCTGGACAGCAGGTTATGTCGCAGGGAAGGGTTGGCCGCATGCTAGGAGAAAGTCTGGAAGTGTCTGAACATTGATGCCAATGCCACCACCTTGTCGCTATGGCATCATCTGTTGGTCTGTCTTCCATCACCCCTTAATGCTGCACAAGCCTGAGTTATGCTATCATTTAAGTTGAAGCCCCCGTCAATAGAGAATGCCTCCCATCCAAAACTTCCTCTTTCGTCACATGATAACAATCCATCATTCTTTGAAACAATTTTTAATATGCATGCTTCGTTCCTAACATTTCACGATAATTGTTGGATGCACTTCCACCATTTGAATCAATTTTCAGCAGTTCTATCCTCTATGATCGTCTATTTTAAGGTTTTTGTTTCCAAGCCTATTTTACATCTGGTTAGTTTGCTAGTAGTCCTCTTTTGCAACGCTACTCTAGTTGCCTCCATGTGTAATGCTTCCTTAGACCCCCTCCAGCATTTAGGTCAGTAGTTGGTGAAATTCCTATGCATATGCTCCCCGTTTTTACTCGAGCTATTGGGCTCATGAATGCTTAGGTTTTTATCCTCCTCCTGCCATTGATTTCCTAATATTTTTTTTCCGCAAAGATCATATCCACCTCAATGAAAGCTACTCTCCACCAATCATTATAAGCATGCTCTTATCTTTTCTAAAGATGAGATTTATGCGTTGGCTACTCCATTTACCTTCTCTGTAGTCAGCAAATTTTCTTGAGAAATTCTCAATCTTGAGATTACTTGCATGTTCATATCTGACTTATAATTGATTAGTAATTTCTATGTCGAGCCACTTCACTCTCACCATGTCCCAATCCACTTATCTGTCAAAATAAACTATTCAAGACTATTCTATTGGTCAATCGATACGAATGGTTTTCTAACGTAGATGCATAAAAATTTTTCGCACTTCAATTCTTCCAAAAAACCACCTATAACTACGAATTGAGTCACATTTCCTTGATTTGAAGTTTATAAATTAGCCAATCCACTTTTTATTCTCTTGGTTCTACTTTTAAAAGGGGATTCTGCTAGTTCTAAGTTCTCCAAGTCATTGGTGGTTAAAATCTCAACCAAAATGGATGGCCCCCCTCCTT